CAGCACCCTCAAAATTATTTAATTATTGTTATTGCTTTCTCAAGCCTTTCCCATATAGCATCCTTGCTATTTCTATCTCTCTCTATCTCGTTCTATTTCTCTTTATCTCATTCTATTTCTCTTTCTCTCTCTCTATCTTTCTTTTTCTCTCTATCACCTTCTATATCTATATTTTATTCCCTTTCTATTCTCAAATTGTTACTATATTATTCACTGTTAAAATCCTTTTAATTAAGGCAATCCTGAACTCATAAGAGGAGTTTTATTGTTCTCTTTCTCTTCGCATCGCCTGAAAGTCAACGTTCTCAAAGAGACTACAGTTGACAATTTTACACTCAAACCACATTGTTGGTTCTGGTACGCCCGCAACAGATCAATTTAGAATCGGCTAAGCCAGCCGATTTTAACGTCAACTTTCTTAGCATGCCCAATAGGACCCCATTAGGTGAATAAATTATAGTAAAAATATGTAGTTGGTTTCTCAGGCGACGTATGAATATTCTGATTAGTCATATCAGCCGATGTATCAATATTCTAATCAGTTATATAGTTGGCTAGACAATTATCAACAACCAGTCGCTGATTATTGGCAGACGCCAACAGTCGCTGATTATCGGCAAACACCAGTAGCCGATTATCAGCAGGTGATACACGGGGGGCAGCCGATGGCCAATCAGTCATATGGTTGGCCTGAAAGTTATCAGCGACAAGCAGCTGATTATCAACAAATAGCAAACCAGTCACCAGCAGCCAATTATCAGCATGTGGTAAATCAGCATGTCACCCTCGTATCACGATCTTCGGTACATGGGGGCAGCCGATAGCCAATCAGTCATATGGTTGGACTGAAATTTATCAACGACCAGCAATCGATTATCAGCAAGTGGCAAACCAGTCACCAGCAGCCGATTATCGGCAGGTGGTAAATCAACAAATGGGAGAAATAAGATCCCAAATAAATCCTCAAATGGGAGAATTTAATCAGAAGGTGTTTGCCTAATTAGGGGAGGAGATTAATCAGATGATGAAAGCAATGATGGCTCAGATATCGGCTATCCAAAGTCATCATCAAGCTGAAAACTCGGCATCTCATGAATCAATTTTTCAACGTATTTTTTTTACCATTGACAAACATTTCTCAAGGACCACAAACAACTACGGCAGGAATTGTCCCGCTGAACACAACTCTTAGTATGCCCATCAGCAATCCGCCGATAATAACAGAAATACCATTGATGCCGATTAAGCCGAATGTAAAATTTGTCAAAGATTATTCTACAACGTCCACCAGTTATACCGATTCCCCTTCAGAAAGAACAGCAAGAAATGGGGGAGATTAATCAGGAGGTTAAAGAATTGATGGCTCTGGTTATCCAGGCCGAGGTAGCTCAAGGGTGTAGACATCCTCAACCACTAGTACTACATCAGTAAAATCAGAATCAGCAACTAGGGATGGTAAATTCCCATCCCTGCCGGGTCCCCGCCCCGCCCCGCCCCGTTTATAGCAAGGAGGGGACCCTTTTATGTAAACAGGGATGGGGATGGGGGTAAATTTTGAAAACCCAGCGAGGGAGGGGGCGGGGGCAAGGATGGGGTAAACCCACCCCGCACCGCCCTGATTAAGTATTAAATTACTAATATACCCTTACATTTAATCATTTATTACTAAATTAGATTTATTATATATATGAAAATAAGAAAAATTATGTTTTTTTTTTAAAAAAAATAATATATGTTAATCGGGGATGGGGATAAGAGGTCGGGGGCGGGGGCGGGGGCGGGTATGGGGATGGTGGTGAAATTTTAAGCAGGGATGGGGGCGGGGATGGGGATGGGGAATAAGATCCCCGCCCCGCCCCGCCCCTCCCCACTGCCATCCTTAGCAGCAACACTCGCCAGTACTGCAGATTCCCCCTCAGAAAGAACAGCAAGCTATGGGGGGCAATCAGAATCGAGGAAGAAACAATCCACAAATACCACCGATGGCTGCCGGGGGGCATGTGATTGCAAACCCACAATGGGAATGGGTTGATCTATGTGATCCACTTCAGCCTAACAATGATTTTGCGACTTTCAATGGTAGAGAATATCAGCTGTATGATCGGCACGATTATTATCTGTCACCAGAGAAAATTTCAATTATCAGTATCAGATTATCAGCAAGTTTCAGCAGCTGATTATCGGCAGGTGGTAAATCAGTCACAACAGATGATTTATCAATAATAAAGTTGGAAAAGTTATCAACCTGGTACTGATGAATGTAAGGGTACAAATTGGCTGAAAGCAAAGCGACCTATGTACCAGAATTCTTTGCCGATTGTGATATCTAATAATCAGTAAAAACAAGCATCAGTTGAAAGAATTGTTTTAGTTCGCTGTCCTCAGCCCAATTTCAAGAAAAGAAAAAAAAGACTAGCTGATGTTAATTTCAAAAGGTTACTTAGAGCTCAATTGAGAAAATCGGCTGAAACAAAATCAGTTGAAAGAAAATCAGCTGAAAGACCAGCAGTTGCTGGGGGGCATGTGATCGCTAACCCCTAACAAAAGTTAGTTGATCCATACGCTCCACTTTAGCCTGCTGATTATAGTGAGGTCATACTTGCCGATCAATGGACTTTTGGGCATGGTGCAGTCCTGCCAATGGAGCTGAATGCAAAATCGGCTGCGATAAAATCGGCTGAAAGGAAATCAGCTAAGAAAACTCCTTCCTGGCACAATGTCATAGAGATAATTAGCAGATCGGCTAAAATGATGCTTCACAAAAATTTAATTCCTACCGATCATGATCATGATTTTCTAATGGAGTTAGAAAATGCATCGGGGCAAGTCCTTCCTGGGTTTATGGAAAGGTGATATCGGCAAACTTTCTGAGAATCTAAAAAAAAGCTTAAATCAGCAGATTTGGCTAATATGAAATAAAGATCATCTTAGGGGTGATTCAGAAAAAATAAAGATTTGGAGCTTGTTGATTTACAATCTTATTCTAAGTGACTAGTGCATCCCTTGTTCAAAATTTGTTTCCAATGTATTTTAAATTTCAAACAAATATCTTATCGGCTTGGGCAGCCGATAGCCAATAAAACATTTAAAATTGGGGGTATTGTTGACACCCTTTTGGTAAAATTGCATGGGTAGTGGTGTGGCAATATTTGAACTACAGGTGGATGGTATTTTTCACGTGGATTAGAGTTGGAATTTAATGTAAGAGTGAGAAAAATGAAAGAATCCTTTGAATTAACTGATGAATAGGGATCATAGTGATAGTGTTTATCTTTTAGTTAGGTTTCATTTAATTACTAATAGTTATCTCTAAGATAGTTTAGTTTAAATTTATAAGTCAATTATACTTAAAGGTAGGAGGTAGGAGTTTGTTTTACGTATTATTCTATAAATAATTGTAGAGGCTTGCTGAGAAAGTGATTCAGCACCCTCAAAATCATTTAAATATTGTTATTGCTTTCGGAAGCCTTTCCCCATATATCATCGTTGCTATTTCTATCTCTCTCTCTATCTTACTCTCTCTATCACCTTCTATATTTATATTTTCTCCCATTTATATTCTCAAATGGTTATTATATTATTCACTGTTAAAGTCCTTTTAATTAAGGCAATCCTGAATTCATAGGAGGAGTTTTATTGTTCTCAACGAGACTTTAGTTGACAATTTTACACTCGAATCACATTGTTGGTTCTGGCACGCCGGCAAAAGATCAATTTAGAATCGACTAAGCTAGTCGATTTTAGCGTCAACAATATTACAATTAAAAGTGACTATAATGTTTCGGGAACAATTGTACAGCAGTGTATATAAAAATAATAATTAAAAAAATAAAATAATAGTTTTTTTTTTCTTAGAGCACATGTATCTGTCTCGTAATACACGCATCATTCAAATCAGAAGTGCGATTCGAAAGCGAGATCTCAAGAACTTACCGGATCTCTACCATTGCCGTTATGGCGACAAAGGACATTTATTTTGAATGAGAAAGAGAGTAAAAATAAAAAATTTGGATATGTATTTAATAAGAGTAATGATAGGAAAACCGTAAAGGAATCGCTGAATTAATATCAAATTTGATGTTATTAGTTATACTTATTACATGTTAAACAATTATTTTTTAAAAATTGTTTGACAAAAATAGGTTAGATTTGGTACTTAATAGAAAAAATCATTAGGTAACCTATCATTTTCCGTTTAATAAATTAAGGGAAAAAAAGCTACATACACATATTGATCCAATTTTCCACTCAAATTAATAGTTCAACATTTAGCATGAAAACACCAATTTTTTATTTAAATTGCAGCAAATTGAACAAGCCAGTGCTTATGATCAATATTGTGTCTACTAAAGCTTCTCCATCTCTCCCAATCATAAACACTGAAAACCCTAATCTTTCCCACCACCAGCCCTCCAATTTTCACCCTGAAAACCCAAATCTTGTCAATAGAACAAATACATACATATGTATATATATACATATGTATATCTGTATACATATGTATTTATATCTTCTTTGATCCAAGTGTTGATCAAAGAAAAAGATGTGAGCTCAGCTATCGAAACTTCCAGCATCGGACGGTGGGATGACCTCCATAGAAGACAAGCCGTTTGTGTTGTTGCCCTCCCTTAATCACGGTGATTCTATCTCTCCATTTCGTGCTCTGTTGTTTTTATCTCTTTCTCCATGGCATCAAATTAATTTAGTAGTGTTTACCAAATTATCAATACACACATTTTCAGATATAGGGTTGAAACGCCTATAGAGTTTCTGTTGCTTGCATATAGATTTAGAAAGAGAGAACTTGTGACGAGGAACGTTAGGGTTTTTTAAGAATATAACACTTACACTGACAAGAACACTTACAAATTACAGATAATTGATCCATAAAGAGATGGATTTAATGGAAAGAGAGTGAGGGTTTGTTGACAGAGATAGATGAAAGCTAGGGTTTGCTGCAGAGTGAGAGGGTGGGGGCGAGAGAGAATTTGGCGGGAGATCAGAGGGGGTAGTTGTAACATAGGGGTATTTGGGTCATTTGCTAAGCCAGAATTTTTAATTAAAATGAATTAAAAAAAAAAAAAAAATTGAGTATTTTTTGACATTTCAGTTGTTTTTGAGTTTGCACCTACCTGTAATTAAGCTTTATCTGGTGTCAGCATAATTCTGTAATTTTTTTAGTTAGTCATTTTCTTAAAACAAAAACTAGCTTTTGTTATAGAAGTTGTGGACGAGTACCAAAATTGCTGGGTAAATTGATATTTGAAGAGACACCATTTTGTTTTCCAAAATATAATTACCATTTTGTTTTCTTAAAAACTAAACAAATTATTAAAAAAAAAAAAAAAAAAACTCAAGCTGTTATATATAATCACCAAAATCTAATTTGCTAGTTCAATACAGTTTTACATATCATTAACTAATTAATGCAATCAAAAATCAACTACTATTCTTCCAAGGAATTTTCTCCATGTTCTGGTTTTTCCCGCTTTTTCTTTTTTTATATTTATTTTTATCATTTATCATTCATAAATTTTGACAAGAAAGCTGATGTGCCAAGTTTTTGATAAATTTCTTTACTCTTTGTTATGAATGCGAAATAAACTAATAGAGATACTTTACAAATTGGAGCCGAATTATTTTGTATAGCACAAATGTTGTATTTGCTTTAAATTGCCTCAACAAAAGACTGGTTGATAATTTAGAAATATGACAGAATATTACCGTCCCAAAATTTATCACAAAGTTTATATGTACTGAGAAATTAGAATAAGATAATGTACAACATTGTTGGTGCATATTTCTTGGTCTCTGGCATATGCTTTTGTCCCCCCTTGGAGAAAGTTCCCTCTGCTTGACTAAACACAGTGTCTGCCGTGTTGGGTCCATGGACTGCATTATTGGTGTTTGCCGTGTGGGGGCATATTGCAGCATCCATATTAGACTTTTCAGCAATTTCCCATTAAGCTTTACTTGGTCCTTCTTAGACAGAATATTGAACCTCTCTTCACTGCTAAGTCTCTCTCTCTCTCTCTCTCTCTCTCTCTCTCTCGTGGAAGAAAAGAGCATGGCTGAAGCCTTGGTGGGTGGAGCATTTCTCTCGGCTTCCCTTCAAGTGTTGTTTGATCGGCTGGCTTCTCGCGAGTTCATCAACTTTTTTTCCAAACAAAAAATTGATGATGGACTCATGGGCAAGATGGAGACGAACTTACTGGCCCTTCAAGTACTTCTGGATGATGCAGAGGACAAGCAGATCACCAACTCAGCAGTGAAAGCTTGGCTCGACAAGCTCCAACATGTTGTCTACCAAGCTGACGACTTGCTGGACGAGATCTCTACCAAGGCCTTGAGGAACAAGTTGGAAGCTGATGATCTGCCCCAAACCCAAAGAAGCAGAAGTAAGGTTAGTTTGAGTCGATTTTTCCTTCTAATGAGGCGATTTCTGTTACGCATTAATTGTTTTGTCTCGACTCCTGCTTATCTTTCTGATAAAGCAATAGAGTCCAAGATGAAAGAGGTCATCAGTAAGTTGGAGGAGTTCGTCAACCAAAACAATTCTCTTAATTTGACTGAGAATGTTGGAAGACAACAGTGGCAAGGACAAGAAACTTCTTCTGTGGTAGTTGAATCTGATATCTATGGGAGGAATGTTGAGAAAGAGAAGATAATGGAATTGTTGTTGTCTGAGAATGCAACTAGGAATCAGATTCCTGTAATCCCTATTGTCGGAATGGGAGGGATGGGAAAGACTACCCTTGCTCAACTTCTATACAATGATGATAGAGTAAATGAGAAATTTCATCATATGAAAGCATGGGTTTGTGTTTCTGATCCATTTGATACTTACATGATAACAAAAAGAATTTTTGATGATCTCACTGGATCAAACGCTGACATCAAGAGTCTTAATCAACTTCAAATTAAGTTGAAAGAGACCCTAGCGGGGAAGAAATTTCTAATTGTCTTGGACGATGTTTGGAATCACAACTACAATGAATGGGACTGCTTAATAAAACCTTTCAATGCTGGAGCACCAGAAAGTAGGATTATCGTGACAACACGCATTGACGATGTCGCATTTCGAATGGGCACCGTTCCTATTCTTTACTTGGAGCAATTGTCATTTAAAGATTGTTGGTCATTATTTGCAAAGCATGCATTTGGGTGTGGAGATTATATGGCTCATTCAGACTTTGAGAGCATTGGCAAACAAATTGTGGAGAAGTGCAAAGGCTTGCCCTTAGCGGTAAAATCACTGGGAGGTCTCTTGCGGTCTAAACAGGATATTCAGGATTGGAAAAATATATTTAAAAGCAAGATATGGGGTTTGAAGGAGAGAAACATTCTTCCGGCTCTAAGATTGAGCTATCAGTATCTTCCTTCACATTTAAAGCGTTGCTTTGCGTATTGTTCAATATTTCCAAAAGATTACAAATTTGAAAAGGAAAAGTTAATCCAGTTATGGATTGCTGTAGATCTTGTACAGCAACCCAATATGTTATTGGAAGATGTAGGTAATGACTACTTCCGTGAACTATTGTCAATGTCTTTCTTTCAGAGATTAAGTCATGACAGTGGTTCTGGTTTTGTGATGCATGACCTAATCCATGATTTAGCTCAACAGATATCTGGAGAGTTTTGTTTTATGTTGGAAGATGCCAAGCCCCTTAATCATAACTGCGAAAAAGTCCGCCATTTCTCATATGTTCAAGGCGAATATGATGCATCTGAGAAATTCAAGGATGTTAATGAAGTTGAGTGTTTACGGACATTCATATCATTTTCAAGAAACAAACAAATTTCTTTCTTAGGCAATAAGGTACTAATTGATATGTTGCCGAGCCTAAAATGCTTAAGGGTTCTGTCTCTGTCTCAATATCAGATTTCTGAATTGCCCAAGTCAATCGGAAATTTGATTCATTTACGCTATTTGGATCTCTCTTGGACAAAAATCAAGCGGTTACCTGATTCAGTAACGACCTTGTGCAATTTACAAACATTAGATTTGTCATATTGTGAGAATCTCACTGAATTGCCTGTGACTATGGGAAAACTAATAAACTTGCGCCATCTTGATATCAGAGAAACTAGATTGACTGAAATGCCAAAGCAGATGAGCAGATTGAAAGATCTCCAACATTTAACATATTTTGTAGTTGGCAAGGATGGTGGGTCAAAGATTAGTGGGTTGAAGGAACTCTGTCAACTTCGGGGGCAACTTAGCATTTTGGGGCTGAAAAATGTAACCCGTAGTCTGGATGCATCAGAGGCCAATCTGAAAGGGAAGGAGCACCTTGAAGGGTTAGAGCTGGAATGTGGTGGTGATACAAATGATTCAGAAAAAGAAAGAGATGTACTCGACCAGCTACAGGCTCATGTGGGAGTGAAGGATCTCCGCATCATTAACTATGGGGGCACAAGATTTCCGAATTGGTTAGAGAGAGCTCATTTGTTTCGTGATATGGTGTCTTTGGATCTTATAGACTGTGCAAATTGCTCTTATTTGCCACCGATTGGGCAGCTACCATCTCTAAAAAATCTAAGGATTGAAGGAATGGAAGCAATAAGGAAGGTGGGTCAAGAGTTCTATGGGAATGCTTCTTCTTCGATCAAACCATTTCAATATTTGGAGAAACTAAGCTTTAAACGAATGTCGGAGTGGGAGGAATGGCATTCATCAGGGGTTGGAGAATTCTCTTGCCTTTTAGAGTTTTCTTTGGTCAATTGTCCTACGTTGACCAGTGAATTATCCATCCGCTTCCCATCTCTAACGAAGCTTAAAATTTCAAAATGCCAACGGCTTGTATCCAATCAAGTTAGGCTGTTGCTGCAAGGCCTTCCTTCTATTCAGGAGTTGGAGATTTCAGAGATGACAAACTTGACAGAATTGCCGCATCAGCTGCAACACCTGTCTTCTCTTAAAAATTTGGAGATTTCAGATATTCCAAACTTGACGGAATTGCCACAGCAGCTGCAACACATGTCTTCTCTTCAGAAATTGGAGATTTCATGCATGCCAGACTTGAAGGAATTGCCACAGGAGTTGTGCAAATTAGTAAATCTTGAAAGGTTGAAGATAGAGCAATGCCCGAGGCTTGTGTCATTTCCGGACGTGGGGTTACTGCCGATGCTTAAGACTTTGGAGATCGAAAGATGTGAAGCTCTACGGTCCCTAGTAGCAGTACCATCAGAGAAAATCATGAATATGATGCGCATCAACAATTGTTCATCTTTTCAGGTGTCTTTTCCCATCGCTGCATTGAAAATGCTTTCCATCTCTGACTGTGGAAGATTAGAGTTTCCCTTGTCCGAGGAGATGGAGGGGCATAATTACCACACATCCATTGAAGATCTGAGCTTAATTGAAAGCTGTGATCATCTCAAGTTGCTGTCATTAGGCTTCTTTCCAAAGCTTCGTTCTCTCAACATCTTGTGGTGTAAAAATTTGGAAACGCTTTTGATCCCGAACGAGCTTCAGTATCTGATGTATTTGTACATCGGTGATTGTGAGAATCTAAAGTCACTGCCTCAACGAATGCACACCCACCTCCCATCTCTTGAATCATTGACGATAGAGAAGTGTCCAGAAGTTGAATCATTTCCAGACGGAGGTTTGCCATCCCACTTAACTACACTTGTGATCTATAAATGCGAGAAACTGATGAAGGGCCGGATTGGGTGGGATTTGCAAACACTCCCATCTCTTGAAACATTCAGCATCAGCGGTGAATATAAAGAAGAAGTGTTGGAGTCATTTCCGGAGGAGTGCCTATTGCCCACCTCTCTTACCTCTCTTACCATCGTTAACCTTCAAAATCTGAAATCACTGAACCACAAGGGCCTTCAACACCTCACCTCTCTTAAAACTCTGTCCATCAGTTACTGCCCTAAACTCCAGTCCTTGCCAGAAGAGGGGCTGCCCAACTCCCTCTCTTTCCTGCAAATACGCAAATGTCCATTGCTGAAACATTGGCCCAACATTTCCCGAATCCGCCACATAAGGATCGATGGTGAAGACATCGTAAACTTGGAGTGAGACACTGATGCATGCTTATATATAGGTGATGGTTCTGTTTGGTTAGAGTGCTGTTTCTATGATGAAATTTCAGGTAATTTAACATTCATTGCAAAGCTTTTCATTTTGTTATGTTGTGTTCGATAACAAATGTCTTTGGAAGTTGATACCATTTTTTGTTTTGTCCATATATTCGTCGTATTTTCAATTTTCTTTTTTCTTAGCCATTATAATGATTCTTCAACGTAAAAAAAATATAGGTTTTAAATTTATTTTCTGCGATCAAGATCTTTTAAGAAGATAAACATCTTCATGTAGCAACTGTTCATTTTTATTTTTTGGCAATTAGTTTGGATTGACATGTACAATCTTTTGCTCATGCTAAGGTAATTGCCCTTCAGTCTATCCACCATAACCATAATTATTACTTCCTTCTATTTATTAATATTTTTTTTATTGGTTTGCATTTGTTGAAGTACTGGAAAGATCGATGACAAATAATGTTAGACCATGCCCAGATCAAAATCTCAACTTTCTCAACATTGTGGTTGCAGAGAAACTTCAATTCTCAGTCAGGTATGTGCCTCCACATTTGGTAGATACAATCTTAATTAATGTCACACAAGATGATAATTTCAACAAGTTTGCAATCAGCGACATATCTTAAAGATATCAGGTTTAATTTGATAAGACTATTGCAGAATGCAGACTAATATAATTTTCTTTTGCAGCTAAAACCCTTTGATCTCTGTTTGATCCTCAGAAACAATGATGGAATGCAAAGGAATATGGCGAAAAGACAGCAGAAGTAAAATAAAATGGTCCATAGGTAAAAATTAGGGTTTTCCATTACTACCAAATAAACAAATATAATGAAATGCTCTATTAACTTATTTATCTTTCCTATATACATACACACACACGCACACGCACATATATATATGATTATCTCAGTACTTTAACGTTTTTTTAAAAAAAATTCTTGACTTATGACATTTATGGATAATTTTTCCCGGGACATATGGATATGAAAGGACTATATGATGTTGGTAAATTGATGCAGAATCACAGAATAGTTGTTCCTTTTCATCTTGGACTAAGGCATTGGAGAGACTTTACTGGTCTTTGTTAAGTCATATTCTCAGTAAAAGGATATTTGATCACAAACATAGCAAATTCCATAATATAAAGAGTCACTGTAACATTTTTGAGATATTCTTCATTGTCCTTGTGAAACAGATGCCGAGGTTTATGAACTTACCCTTCAGTTACATTAGCCACTCGGGTACATGTTTAAATTGTAATTTGGACGATTTATTAATTTACTTCTATATATTTGATTTTAATATCACATGTTTTGAAATCTTGGTATTTCTTTTAATGCAATGGTTGTTAATATTGCTTCGTGAGCTACGTATTGCAACTTTCTTTAGCTTTGTGATTCTTGTATCATCTTTTCAAAAAACGGACAGACTATACTAGAATCATTTCTGGTGAATATGCAGGTACGATGTGTCAAAGCCATTGCAACATGGTGACAGAGGCATATATAAGTGTTGGGGTGGAGTATGAGGTCAATTCTCATTGATAATACGTATGTCCACCCTCTCATTCATAATACTTCTCTCAGTACTTTTAGCCATTGCTATTTTTGAATTTCCTAAATCGGCGACGTTTATAAATGCTTTTGCACAGGACACTATGAATGTGAGTCGATGCTGGTGCTGGAATGCAGAATCATAAAACATGGCCTCTGCGTACGTAGGGGCTCGTTTCTTGAACAATTGTTCCATGCTATTTTTCAAAATGACATCAACAACTGTCGGAATTTCATGCAGAGTTTACATTAGTTTGTGAGTTTATTAATTTTTATCATCAAATTGAAATGTATATTTAAACTATAGCCAAGGGGGCTTGTTCGTTGAGTTTGGAGATGATCATCGAAAACCCTTTTCTTTTTTTTTTTCCTATTTATTTTTTGGGGGTTGGGTGAGCGTGGTAAGGTTTACCAGTCTTGGGAAGAGACTAGCTTTTCTTTAAATGTTTGATTTTATCATTAAATTACAGATGTTCTTTAAATTTTCATTTCATTAACTTGCCTTGAGGATGTTTCTGAAATAGGTTTGATTCAAGTCAAATGTTGTATGCTCTGAGAATTTAGAAACAGTAAGGCATCATTAAGCAAAAGCCCTAATTTTTATTCTCTATAAAAGGTTTGTCTAATTTACATCATTATGCTTATGAGGTGTTTGATTTGCAAAAAGTTGAGACATTTTTTTGGTTGCTAGAATAGTGAGTTTGTTGTATCTAATGATTCTAATCTATACTACTTTCTGAAAATGTGAAAACCAGAAGTATGAAAGCATTCAAGTTATGTTTGGATGGAATTTGAAACTTTAGAATTGAAATTGGTATAATTTGAGAAAAATAATTCAAAAAATTGAACCAAAATTTTTTCTAATTTTACCAATTCCAATTATAAGGTTCTAATTCCATGCAATCGAAATAACCTCTCAAACGTATCGGATGATACACGACCCTTTTTTAAGTTCAATACACAATCCATATCGGTCAATTTACACTAATTTTATTCGAATATGTTACATGCAATTGATACTGATACTATGAATTTAAGAATTTAAGAATTCATTTAAATTGCATACCTATTTGTATTTATATTGTCAAATGTATGTATGTACATACACACATATACAGAAATATTTGTTATCTAAATTAGATCCAAAAACACGTCGAGCCTTCATTTGCCATGAACATAAATTTTTGCCGGCCAATGGGATTTCTATATGGACAGCTAGATGACCAGTATCCTTTAGCATAGACTGTATGAACTTAATTTTGTTTTTATTTTTTATTTCCATAAAAAATCGAATGGAATATAAAAAAGTATTTAGGAAGTATAGCATTCACTTGATTGACGTAGAGTGACAAAGCCAATAAAATTTTACCTTTTTTTTTTAACAACAATATTATAAAAAAAATAATCCAAATGTTTAGTACAAAAATCAAAATATCAATTGACGACTTTTCTATTGAACATATTTTTTCATGATTGTTTTAAAATTTAGTTCATATATAATCAAATGAAAGTCCATAACCGTAGAACCGAACCAATCACTACGGTTCAGTTCCATTGCTTCGAACGGTTTGGTTCCAATATTTCTGAAACCATTGGAATCGGTATAGTTTTGATCAATTCCAGAACCGGACCAAACCGAATTGTATGCACCCCAACCAATTTCTGCGGAGGTGTTCTAAGAGTTCTTTCCTTCACTGTTTGACCTAATCTCATGTTTTAAAAAAACGTTAGGAGAGCCATGAAGCAGAGGCCGAACTTGTAACGGAGTGTAAAAGAGAGGTGAATGAAAGATGCAGATTCAAAACACACATTATGGGTAGAAAGGGTTCCACAAAAATTAAATAAATAGATACATATCAGAACCAAAATAACAGTGGACGCTTACGTGCGTTTAATAATTATAATGCGTTCCCTCTTAATTTCACTAACAAAACAGTGTACAAAGTAAAATCTGCCGATTAGTTGAACAAGCATCTTGAGACCATCTGATCTCAGTGAGCAAGTCCACAAAATAAAAATAAAACCAAAAAAGTTCACTGAATGGCAATGCAAATTATTTTGCTTTCTTGTGAAGAACTCTCCCCTATCAAGTGATGGTCCCCCTCTAGCCTCTTCAATCCTTACCGCAGCACCTTCATAACCAACGACGTGAGTATAAATAGATGTAACAAATTCAAAACAAAGTGTCGAGAATCAAGTAAGGTAGAATTCTCAACCATCATATCATGAGGAAAAAGGGAAATGACAAGTTTCATAAATTAGTAGACGTATTCCTATGGCAGAAACATCAATCTTCAAGATATATGCTCTATGAAAAGCAATTATCCAGGCACTATTTACACTCCACATATAGCCTCGTGTCCACTCTCCAATCTCAAAACTACAAATGACAGAATGCCCTTCTCAAAGGAACTTGGATCCTATCCTGTGCACCGGAGCACAGGGGAGGGTGGAGACCAGTGCACACGAGAGGATCCAAATTCTTCTCGAAGACCCTTTTCCAGTGACAAGGACATCTCAGACCCTAAACCAAACAATATGAGGCATGATCAACCCTGCTTACCCCCAGCCAAGTTTTTACCTCCGGCCTTTGGGGTTACGCAAGCATGTTCCTACATATCTCAGTCAAGATTAGAACCACGTCCCTTAGGTAAAGCTTGAAGGTCTGGGGATAATGTTGACTCCTGACTCATTATATCAACAAAAACCCTATAGAATGGCACCCCTGGGGCCAAGGTAGGGCTCTCCGCAAAGACTTACCGAGTATATAGGGCACTTATATGTAAATATACAATCATCTTCATATATGCATACCCCACAAAGTCGCAACCAACCTCTCGACCTTCAAACGGATAACATGCTTTGACCCCAAGCACTTTATCTCGTGTTCCAATCCCTCTTCTCTCAATCAGAATAGGATTTGGCACACCTGAGACAGAGGGAGTCGCACACTTAGTTAGGGGTTCGGGTTCGTGCACAGGTATGCTGGCGTCAAAGCCCCTATTTTCGGTTCTAAAGTTCATTATATTCTCTTATCATAAGATGGAGCTGCTTTTTCATTTGCTTACCTGAGATGCCTGGTTCATGAACCATCGCATTGGGCAAATCACCCGCCAAGCACCTAACCTTACTGATACATCTAAGCTAAAATTAAAAACATATTTCCTCCAACTACCCAAAGTATTTGCACCAAAAAAAAAAATCCCATACACCAATTATTATTATTTTGGTCTTAAGTTGATGGATGTTTTTGTCATCACCATGGATGGCTTATGAAGCGTTCACTTTAGTTGGAAATCAGTTTTGACAGTTTTCATTTTAAAAATGCAACTTGTGGATCTCTTGTAGGTTAATCCCACTAAAATTCCTAAGCAGAGGTACTAGACTTGGATGCTTCCTAAACCAACACTGCTCTAAATAAGCTGTTAAAAGAACTAATAACCAATGAAGCACAGATACGGATACAAGATATGGATACGGTGATACAAAAAATCTCCAGAAAAAGAACATGGGCATGCCAAGATATGGCAATAAGATAATCATATATTAAATTTTTATATATACAAAATAATAATTTTTTATTAGTTGTCCATAACATTATGAATGTAAATGTAATCACCAGTATGTTTATAAATAAAGAGGCAATTTGATAAACACAAAGATAGAGAAAGAAAAACCCTAACCCTAGAATTTGAATGACCCAAATTAATAGATACCAAATCTCTCTTTTTCTTCTTCTCCTACTTCTCTCTCTCTCTCTCTCTCTCTCTCTCTCTCTCTCTTTGTGTCGATGAGTGTTGATTAGCATCAATTTGAGCTTTCAAGTCTTTCTTTGTTTTCTTTTCTATTATATAATTAACATTTTTGTTACTACAATAATAGCCCTGTTTTTCATAAAAATATTAACAAGTTTGCCCAACCGTATCCCAGCCATATCCGATTCGAAATTATTTATATACATATATATTGCAAAATTTTGAATACTTCCCAACCACATTGGACTGCATATCTGTCAGACACGCGTCCGATATCGCCACAGCAGCCCTGGGAAGTATCCGTGCCTCCTAGCTAATAACTCAAGGCCATGAACAGACTAAGCACGTCAAAAGAATGCCATTGGGTTAGTACAAACATGTTATGTGTAAGATTTGGCAGTTTATTAGTATAATCTCAACATTAAGCAGATCAAATCCGTGGTCTTAGTTTCCATAGAAGCAGAAGAGATCGCTTTGGACCCAAAGTTCATTGGATGCAACTTACACGAGTTTACCTTCAGTACCAGCATCCTTTCCCAAACCCATTCCCTCTCCTTCAAATTGCAGATCCACTTCTTGTTAATATCAAGAGATAACCAACCACTATGATATTTATACCACCCATTAATCCCATTTCAGTTGGCATTCAGTTACCATTTCAGAGTTATTGCGAAATTATTATTTTTATATGGAGAAGATTAAATGAATTAATCAGATCACTCTCTAAATATTCAAATATATATATTTTTTTGATAATTACAAAACATTCAAATATACAATCACATGAGAATTGCAATAATGGCCCAAAAAAGTTTTATAAAGACAAATTATTTCAACTTATCTTTGTAGAACTAGTGAACATTTCTTTTGTTGGGACTTGATGAGCTTACGTATCATCTCGTAAAACAATAGTCCTTGCGAAGGCTTGAAGAAATTGGAGGTTTAAGTTCTAGGCATTTGGTAGTAACAAGTAAATTGGACATTTAAGACAATTAACACTTATTGTATTAAATGGGCTCAATGTAAAATCTTAATGAGAAAAATAATATAAAATATCAACCAACTCATTTTAAATATTATACTAATACCAACAATATACATACAATCTAAAACTTTGTAATCTACGAAAACTAAAGACCAAAACTTGAAACACAATGTTCACAATATTCGTTGATTTATCTATAAATTTCAAATTGGCATTTAATGGTCACAAGTGGCAAAGTGTCGCAGCAAGATATTTCTTATGGCCAGCCACAAATTCTGTATTAAAAATAGAGAATCAGTATGTGTTGGACACATGGATTTTAATATGGCTGCAACACAAAAGCCCTTTGTCGCTGGATTTTAGGAATTTAAGTGGGTGTAATACAGCCATTACAGACTTTTAACATGATTGTTTGTAAGATACATAATCATTACTGAAAGTATAAATTATCTTTAAATGGAAATAAGGAAATATTTTGAAAGGGGAAAAGTTATAAAAAAGAATATTATTTTGGATAGGAGATATGTGGATTAGCAAATTTCCAAACACACGAGTCAGGACATTGATATGTGTTGACTCATATTCCGAACAAGAAGGGAAAACAACCTGGAAAAAAATAAAGAAAACAAAAGAAAAGGGAAGAAAGAACCTAAAGACCTGTCTGCACTTAAAAAGCCATTCAATGTAAATATATATATATATATATATGTATGTATGTATGTATTTACCAAAAAAATGTATGTGTATTTATATAGAGAGGGAGAGAGGGAGGGAGAGAGAGAAAGCCAGAAATAAATGGCTGCAATCATGCAGCTATTAAAACAAGGATGAAATGCTTGCATGGAAAAAAAATGGCAATGTATGGTTAATGGCAGGATGGATCATGGATGGTAAACTAGATGACAAAGTAAATTTCAAGCATATGATAGTGGTATAATGATAGAAATCATAAGACAGCAAATGGCAGAAAGAAAAGTAAAGGAAATGAGAAACAGTTATGAAACTTAGGGAACATTTATTGTTTCGTACATAATAGGAAATGATGTGTTTTCTTATTTTCCATAACCTTGTCAGAGACAAAGAGGCCGACCAAAACTCAAGTGAAAAGAAATATTTAGAAATGATTTTTTAAAAATTAAATATACTAAGAGGTAAGGCCTGTATTAGAAAGAATGGAAAAAAAGAATTCAAGTGGTGACCCCATTTACATGGGATAAAGGTAAGGATGATGATGATGATGAAATATTGGTTGTAATGTCGCTGGTAGCAGTTTTTTGTTCTCTTGGGAGCGCTCCCCTTTTGAGTGCCTTTAATGAATTTTACTTACCAAAAAAAAATATATATATATATATATATATATATATTGATGACATATTGGTATTGGTACACCTAAAACTTGCACCAGCACACCCTTCAGCAGTTGGAAAATTTATGGTTGTTTCCAAATCCAAATTGAATTCTAGGTTGCCTATTTCAAATTAAATCCATCATGAACTAATTTAAGAACTCAGAATAGAGTTTCTAAGGTGATTTTGTGAAGAATGAGAAAAGATTACAAAGGTTTAAGATATTAACAACTCTATATTATTCTTTAATCATCCGCTGAGCTAGGGTACATTGCAGGCCTATATAAAAGACGCGGATTGATTAGTAAAACATCCCATCGGGGATGAAAAATCTACAAACAACTATTTGTTTTGGATTAATAGCGTAGAAAATTCAATGTTTCATTTGATTCACTCAACCATCACCATCAGCATCTACTCTACTTGTGGACATCAAAGGCTTGGTTGCACAGATTAGCACCCGGATCTGTGAGATTCAAACTTAACACGCATAGGCAGCAATCAAACTCAAAGGCACTGAGTAGTAAACCAGACCTGAGTCTGAGGCGGTCAGCAACTAAGTCTTGGCAAGTGTTTCGAGTTTAGACAGAGTCAAAGTTGTAACTTCTCCTTTAAAATCTATTATTTGAAAAAAGTTGAAAATACAGTAAGTCAGAACTTGAAAACATTAATTTTTAATAAAAATCCACCCTCAGATGTCGAAAGTCTGCAATCTTACATGAAAAAACTAAGTAGACTTACCATGAATGTTCTAGCTGAAATATATTGTTAAACCCCAAATTATCAATAGTATGGCCAATTCCCTTGATATATATCATAAAAATAGAAATTTCTTAAAGAGTAGGAAGTATAAACAATTTCCACCTATCAATGATATAGTCCAGCAATTTAAATGTACTAATATTGTTATCTAGAAACAACAAGGAGCATGGCACATGTGAAGTATGTGCAGTATCTCATGGTGGTGGTAGGTCGTAGGGTAGGCAAAATATACTCGTAGTATGGCAATTATATGAAAACAGTGTTGTGATAGTATTGGCATTGATTTGATATGAAAGTAAACTAAACTCAGAGTACTTATGGAAATAATGGTTTGTTAAAAAAGAAAGCTAACTTTACAATAGGGTTATGAATGAAAATAAAGGATTGGCTATATGATGAAGTTAGGGGAAGAAAAAAAATCATGATATGAACCTTCAAAAATCATGTACACTCAAGTCTCAATGTGCATTCGAATTGAAGCAGTCAAAGAAAAAAGCAAAAATGTTCCACTATTTTGCATTTCACATGCATGTAATTGAATGTAACCTAATCCTACTAAAGGTTGAAGAAAACACAACGATTTGCTCAAAGTTAATGAAAAGAGAATTACCGTTTGTATTTCTTTTTGGAACCACATGGGCACAATGCATTCCTACTTATTTGCCCACTCTTAGCCAGGTTCTCCTGGGCAAGACCCAATGGTGTTGACCCCATCAGCCTTTGGACCTACAGAATATAAATGCCAATAGTGATAAGTGAAGTCCATAATGTTTCCTGTTTGTGCGAAGACATAAGAAAAATGACCTTACTCAACAACCTCAGTCAAGTTCAAAAAAATGGACCAATCTAGATAGCTTGTGAATTGAAGAAAACCAAAGATATATTCGGCCTTGAATAGGACAAAGAATGACTAATTTAATCGTTGGATCACGGACCTCTGATTTTATATATATATATATATATATATATATATATATATATATATATATATATATATTTATTTGTGGTTGGGTGGGGACCGCTTTTACAAGCAAGATAGTTTGATCTATATCAATTCGATCAATTGAATAAAAACATAAAACTAAATGCCTACAAACCAACCTAAACCTCACAACTTTTTCCCATATTTTTGTGACCTTTATGCTAAAGTTTCTATGAATTGCTAGAGCACGAAACAGATCTTCACCTCAGGTGAGAATGCAGATGCACCGATTTAAATCACATTCATACATTAATTTTTCAACCTACTTTAATTTACTTGAGCCTCACTAGATCAAATTGATTCAAACAGGACTTAAACAAAACCACCAAGAATATAAGATATGTAAAGTATGTATCTTTTACTATTTTTTTTTTTGATAAGTAAAAAATATAAATAAAAAAAAAAGGCATTCAAGAGGGGAACGTGTCCCTTATACAAAAGTGGAACTAGGGTCTAAGGCCCCAAAAAAACCAAAAAAATGATTAAATCATCGGAAGAGGAGCAAGAACTCCTCTTTTACTCTTAATAACTCAATTAGAACCTACTAAAACAAACAGATATTTAGAGAAGGAAAAAAAAATGCCAAATGAAAGATCAGAAATATATCTAGTCTTACAGGACATAAACTGGGGTGAGTTGACCCGGGCCTGTCCGACTGATCTTGAGCTAAAAGGCAGGCTGTCCAACCCTTCACTGGGCTAGTCTTGGATTGGATTTTGAATCTGAGACCAGCAAGACTTTGGGCTGAGTTTGGGTCTTGCATTGTTCAGACAGAGACATGGCCCAACTAAGAGATTGGCTCTGTCAGCTTATCAAATAAATAAATAAATAAATAAAGAGATTGGCTCTGTCTGAAGGCCTAAAAATTGTCTATGTTTTATTGGTGTGTCCAAATAGATTTTTTTTTTTTTTTTTCAAAATATGTTAAGAAAAGATAGAATTGAAAAAAAGTAAACTAAACTGAATCTTATTTAAGTAGGACAGTTGAATTTTCATATACCAAACTTAAAGCAAGTTTGGATTTTATCAAACTTGGGGTGGGAGGAGAAAAAGTTTGATGGGTGGCTTAGGACAAAGGAAGGCAGGCTGAGCTTGACCTTGAGCTTGGGCTAGCTTAGTACCTATAGAATATATAACAACAAAATGTGTTTGGCACAGATTTAAACATTACATACTCCTGTAGCCCATTACAATCCTAAAATGATTTAAGAACAGGCTGGCATGTTTACGTTAAGGCCAATCAAGGGTTTGGTGTCATTACATTTCTCGATTCAAGCTCTTTGACTTGAGGATGGGGCACCACATATTGATTACTCAGTGTTGTATGTGCAAGAAGAGCAAGGAGACAGTGGATCATCTTCTCTTGCACTGTCTGCTGATTAGAGATGTCTAAGACATGTTCCAAATTCTTTTTGGTATCTTTTGGGTCTCGTTGGTTTCAGGCTGAGTATGCTCGAGGCTTGGAGAGCTTGTGATGGAGATCAATGGCAGAAATCTTTAAAGGTGTATAAAAGGCGCCAAAAGGAGGATTCTAAGATTCGAGCTGGCATAGGCTATATAATATGGGTTCACATGGAGTTTTGAATAATTGGGAGCTTTGGTCAACTTTTATTTACTTTAATTATGACATAAGGCTATGTTACCCGGACTCGGGTACGGGTGACGAACACGGGTGCGTGTCTAGGGGTCGGATTCGTCAATCTATCAATTTTCAGGATACGGGGACACGGATTAAAAGTGTCCAAATATTGGACACGGGTACTTGGACACTTTGAAAAGAGAGAAAAATTTGTAAGTTTTTTTTTATGTTTGAGACATTAATCATAAAACAAAAAAATATATACATCAATTGTACTTTTTTATAAAAAATTTATAATTATTACTGCATTTGTTTGCCTCATTTGATTGGTGGCATGTCATGCCTATGCATTCCCCTGTTACTGCTGTTTTATGGAACCTGTAAATAAGAAATTCTGAGCTGCAGGGCTTCTTTTGTATACCCAAGGGCGGGTTTGGGCTTGGGCTAATATGCCTCTGTATGTGCATCTTAGCATTTGGGCCTGTACAAGTCAAAGCACAATTAAAAAGGATGACTAATTCAATATGGGCTAATATGTCTTCGTATGTGCATTTTAGTCATGGATTGATGCTTGGGTTTTGGGCCTGCACAAGTCTAAAGCACAATTAAAAAGGAAGCCCATTCAATGTACACGGTTAGACTTGTCAACGGATCGGATTTGGACCGGATCAGGGTCAATCCGATCTAAATCCGATAAGCATAATGAGTGATCCGGTCCAGTTCGATAATCCGACGGATTTTAATTGAGTCAATCCGTATCCGATTTGTTTGATTATCGGATGTCCGATCCAATAGTCCGATCCGATAATGTAACTTGCACAAATCAACAAACAAACAACAGATTAGGGCATCTTGTAAACATAGAAACCAAAAAATTGAATAATGTCCATCAAGTTCGATTCGTAAACAATACAGGTAATATGGTACGAAATTTCAACATCACAAATACGAATTGGTGTAATTCAATATAATATATATATATATATATATATATATATATAATGATTAAGATGGAGTTAACTTGAAAGAGCTCGGTTTGGATATCAATTTCAATATTAAATCTCACACTAGTACGCACTGCTCTATTGCTTGTAGCCTTTTGGTTTGGGGCTTAACTCTTGAACCACAGGCAAGGCTCGAATCTGGTACACATAGAAGGGAAAATTTACACCCCAGGTTACTTTGAGGTATTTCAAAATACCTCTCCGTTTTCAACTTTAAAAAAATATATATATAATATGAAGAGGAGAGAAGTGAGATTGGACGAGAGAGAAAGGAAGAACACTTACCTGAGAGTAGTAATATTTTGCAGCGATTGCCGATTCTCGTTTCTCTGATTTGTGTTGCAGCTCTGCCACGTGGGAGTGTTTGGGAAGGTTGTTTTGCGGCAAGGGTAGTGTGAGTGAGAGAACAGAATGTTGTTGTGTGATATGTTAGGGTTTAGATAGATTAAAGGAGGAATGGGCTTGGGCTTGGGAATAAGAAGTGGGTTTGCTAATAAGAAGTGGGCTTGGAGATTGGTTTTGGGCTAGACTCTTATATATATATATTTAATTCGGATCGGATTATTATCGGATCGGATCGGTAAAATCCAAATCTGATTTGTTAAGTTAACGGATTATCGGATTCGGATCATAAACGGGTTATCGGATTTTTTATTCAATCCATATCCGACCAATCAGATCGGATTCGGATCGGATTCGGATCATAATCCGATCCATTGACAGGTCTATACACGGTATTTATAAGAGTACTGTAAAAAGCAAAGTTACAGCTGTAACCCACCACAGTAATGCTTTCCAGCTGTGTCCCATCCCTTATCTTTTCAGATCCAAATAAACAGGTGTTAAGTTATTAACAATTGCGTGAAACCATGCTCAAGATGGCACAAAAAATTGCACAAAAGCCAACGCGTGCTGGTTCACAAACAGCAAGTCGTCTTCAACCTCCAGACCACCGATCCGAACCAGAACGCCATTGTTGAAATAGAAAGCTTCGTATGGCTACAAATTTAACAAAAAAACACGAAAAAAATTCCTGATCCTTCACAAGCATCAAACTACACATCATTTTATGTATTTTCTTGGTCAGCCGTGTCCGATTGAAGAATGGAGGGTGGGACGCATATCCCGTGTCCGTGTCTGTGTCATGTCGTGTCGACACAGGCACTCTGGCCTTCACTGATGAGTCCAGGTAACACAGCTATTAGGTAAGTATTAATAACCTCAATTATGAGGTAGTCCAAGGGTCAATAGATTGCCTCAATTATGAGGTAATCTAGACCCAAATATTGATTACCTCAATTATGGGGCGATTACTTTTATTATGTTAGAGACAAGTATTGATTGCCTCAATTAGGCGTAATTGAAGGGTCATAAGATTCTATAAAAGGGGTAGAATGTAATCTTGGTGAATCAGTCAATGAATGAATAAAAATATCTTTGAGATTTCTTTGTGAGTGATTCACAAATTCTGAGGGTGTGATGCCTTCTCTAGGTGTGATGCCTAGGCCCTGTTGGTGTGATTCCAATAGGTTTTTGTTGGTTTCAATCCTTTCTCTCTACTAATATCTTGAACCATAGCTCTGTTTAATTGAATTTCCAGCCACTTCTCCTTTGTTTTTCTACATTTCTACTATCAAACCTCCAAATTTCAGCCCCAGTTCTTTGAACTTTCGGCCTCCTAATTCTTTAGTTCTTAACTATTGAAGGCTTCTCTCTTGTCCTACATCAGGTTGTTCAGTGGGCTCGCAAGCTCGAGAACTTGGCAAGTTACTCCTTATGTTTGTGGTGGGAGTTGCGGTAGGAGGCTTTTTGAGGGGGAGGAAATTCCTATCCCGGCTTTGAATATTCTATTTCGAGCTCTTTATTTTTTTTGGATCAAAGGGTGGATGGAGATGATGATGTTGTAGATAGACTGAAAGTACTAGAGTTTTTGATTGATTAAATCTTACTTATACAAAAAAAAAAAAAAAAAATCAAAATCTCACAAACCACTATCAAATATAAGTCTCTAAAAGCTAGAATCATCATAATACTTTGAAAAATAATTCAAGAGTCCAAATTTTCATTTTTTTTTTTTTTTTTTTTGATGAGTAAGAGTCCAGAAATATTATTCTATAATTATTTATACTGCATTTGGTATTGAGAGAGGAAAAGAGAGGGA